TATTATGAATGTATTTAGAATATGAATAGCGAAAAACAGTCACCATATCGGATGTACATGTATAACTTGTCTTCCAACACCACGCTTGTGCCGAGGCCCATGGTCATAAAACTAATCGGTCCCATAAAAGGAGCAAATAGTTTCGCAGATACTTCTTGCTATGGTTCACTCACAATTGTCAGACGACCTAATCATCAGTCAGACCAGTCAAGTGTGACCAGCGTACCTGCCTGGTTTTGGCTCCTAATTACTGAACTGCCCAATACTGTCATACTGTGGGCAGAGTAAGCGGCCTCGTTGAGTGATACAGACTAACCAGATTATGATTGTGTTTGTAAGTTGCGTTTAATCTGTGTCGGGTTGCAGTTGTTTTATTAGTCAAGACTAGGGGTAGTTTTTTCAATGAAACCTTTTAGCCGTTGAGTTTGTTTTGCATTCATTTCATTAAATACATTGTTAGGTAGAATAATAACACGTTATATGGATTAAACATCTCCCTAATCTGAGTATAATCTCACATGTACTCTAAGTACCGTACTATATTACTTTGCGGAGACACTGAGTATATTTTTTTAGTTGGCATTGTATGCTGTCTGATGACTTTACACAAATCCCTGCATTCAATAAACCCGTGAAGATCTTCAACAAACCATTCTTGGCGTAAAAGGGCGACAGCGCTTGTCGTAAGAAGCGACTACCGGGATCGGGTGGTCAGGCTCGCTGACTTGGTTGATGCATGTCATCGTATCCCAATTGCGTGGATCGATGCGCATGATGTCAATCACTGGATTGTCTGGTCCAGACTGGATTATTTACAGACCGCCGTCATACAGCTGAAATATTGCTAAGTGTGGCGTTATACAACTAACAAACAAACAAAACACAATAAGAGAAAGTGTATGAGTACTAAAACTTGCAATAGATATGCGTACCCTACGTACACACATGAGTCCCATTCGACAGTCTACAACACACGAATAACTGTCAAACAAGTTTGGGTACCCCTTCTGTTCAGGCAAGTAATTTAGTTCGATAATTTTGTATTAAAATCCTTTTCAATTTGTTTTCATCCTTTTTCCCTATTCCATGCATGTTTATGTTGCTACATCTTATTGCTCATGTTTCCAAGTATTGTAAAACACTTTAATGTTTCTCCTTCTTAATCTAACGTTATAACATTTCCGGTCATTGCCATCATCTAATACACAAGAGATGATACCAAGACATATTTTATTCGGTTTTATGGTCTATGCGGTCTTACAATTGATTTTATTAGTCTTTAAATCTTATGTCTAGTAAATATTTTCACAAACAGGGCTGTTAACTGATATAAGGAATGTGACATCCAGTTGAGGACTGAATACGACGTACGTTAGTCTTGTAACGACATTTCTACAATAATGTTTTGAATAAACCGTTAATACGCCAGTTGTGACAGGGATGATGGTATGGTAGATGTAGCAGACATATTGACAGCCGTTGTTACGCGAGTCACTAGGTTATTAGTACGCATTGGCCTTGTTGATTGGTACTATACTTTCTGTGGCCACTGGCGGACGTAATTCAAACTCCTTCCAAACTGACATCGCACCAAATATATTTGTGTACCGATTACATAACTCTTACTGACAGGGTAGGGTGGTAGTTCACGCGAAACGGACGACACTGTGTATATTGAGCGGCTCCTTAGATATCGCCTCACAACATACTTTAAATGAATGACCAATTAAACGATGATACACATCAGGATCGCGGAGAAAATACAAGCTTCGTTCGCGTTGAATATATATATCAAGGCACAAATTCATCTTTCATGAACTTTTTGTGACTTGGTGCTTAATATATCCACATATCAACGAAAATATGTAATACATGTATCCACAAAAATATACATGTACAGGCTAGGTATTTGCCCACAGCAACACCTGCATAACTGTTTATTCACGCGTGGTGTGGCAGATTGTAATTGACCGACAACAAGTATTGTAGAATCACCTGTAAATAAGGCCGACACTGTAATTAGACACAACGTACTAATGAGAATATGAGAATTATCATAAGAAGGCTGTTACGTTTTTCTTAACTATTACCATTTTCAAACCAAAAGTGACAATGCAGTTAAAAGTTGCTTTAGTGTCACAATATTGACTCCCGTTTTCCTCAATCACATTGAAACATAATTCCTACTGGTCAGTTCGACACTGCTTGTAATTAAATAATTATTTCGAGATTTCGTTAGAATGTAAGATAATCAGCCAAACGTTATGCAATAAAAGACGAATAGTTTCTTTCCATTAAAATACGCCGGGCGTACCTGTCACGTAATTGCACAGTGGGATGTATCAACGGGTCATAAAATGGGAAATGAAATAGAAACTAACTAAAATTTAATGTTGTACACGCACATGAATTCGTATGATAAACTGCCAAAACGTTTTGAGAGATAAGGCCGGGTTCATTAAAGATGTTGGGTGCGGTTAGGACCAAACTTTTTCAGCTCACAGTGTTAGTGGTCCTGGTGTCAAACAGGTTCTGCACAATACGTCCATCAGATTCTACTGTTCAGCAACATTGTCACTGAATTTCAGAACTCTGGCATGATAGAATAATCAAGGATTTCGAAGGCAAAACCTTTTCTCGCCCATGGACGAAATATTTCAATAAATCTGTAAAATAGCTGAATTGAGTAAAATTGAGTTACATTATGTGCCATGAAAATAGTAAGAACACCTGCATGTATTTGCGAAACAAAAACATAAGTTTTAAGAAAAGGAAAATATTCTCGCCCATGGGCCAAACCCTTTTCTCGCCCATGGGCGAAATATTTCAATATCGCTATAAAATCGTTGAATTAAGTTAAAATGAGTTAAATTTTGTGTCATGATACTTAAATAAATACATTTAATGTATTTGCGAAACTAAAACATGAGTTTTGAGTAAAGGAACATATTCTCGCCCATGGGCCTGCCCATGGGCCTACCCATGGGCCAAACCTTTTTCTCGCCCATGGGCGAAATATTTCAATATCGCTATAAAATAGTTGAATTAAGTTAAAATAAGTTAAATTTTGTGTCATGATACTTGAATGAATACATTAAATGTATTTGCGAAACAAAATCATGAGTTTTAAGTAAAGGAACATATTCTCGCCCATGGGCCAAACCGTTTTCTCGCCCATGGGCGAAATATTTCAATATCGCTATAAAATCGTTGAATTAAGTTAAAATGAGTTAAATTTTGTGTCATGATACTTGAATGAATACATTAAATGTATTTGCGAAACAAAAGCATGAGTTTTGAGTAAAGGAACATATACTCGCCCATGGGCCTGCCCATGGGCCTACCCATGGGCCAGACTTCGCCCATGGGCAGGCCCATGGGCGACATAGTCTAAATATTGAGTTTTTAAACAATTTTTTTTTCATTTTTTCTTCCTTGGTATGTTCCCATGAAAACGGCATGTTTAATTTTGTAAATACCTTTAACCGAGACTGGGCAAAGACCGTAGAGTTTCTGGACTTTTGGGTTTCCAGAATTAAAATGGGACGTGTTATATGCATGTGATAATAAAACTACAAATCAAAATAACTTCATTGTTTCCCTTGATTGGTTGCATTTTCAACATAAACAAAAACTGTGTTCTAGTGATCGAAATATTAACAAATGAAAGCAGTCCCATAAAGGTCAGCCAATCAAATGCCCAGAGTATCTAAAACAAGATGCACCCTTAAGTAATAATTACTTTTATGCCATGGTATTTACACAAGCATTATCCAGAAATCATATTTCCTCACTAATGATCGTTCAAGGGACCCGTCAACGTTATGTGGACCAAATCCTACACGGAAATATTTTGTTCCAGGATGACAACGCAGCTCACAGAGCTCGTGTTGCAGTCGAATGTCTGAGGCAACAAGGTGTCACAACATTGCTCTGACCAGCCAAACCTCCAGACATGTCACCGTTGGAACACCGTTGGGTTTTTCTTGTCCGAAGAGCTCTCAACCGACCTCAGCGTTTTAAGAATTTACAACAGCTTGGGCAGATCTCACAAGAAAAATGGCGAAGGTATCGATGCTACGGGAGACAACCCGGCGTTTGATATCCAGTATGCCCAGAAGATGTCGTGCCTGCATCGATGCTAACGGGGCATGGTCCAGATATTGACTAACGTCATTTCTTCACACAGTCTGAATACATTTGGGTGTTCCTTAAATGGTGTTCCTAGTGTATACGTCTTCCTTTGAAACAAGCAGTCGTTTTGTTTTCTTACTGTGCACAACTCGCACCATGATCAACTGAATTGCAAAACAGTCACTTATGGATAGTTACCTAAATCAAATAACTCCAATAAAACAGAAATAATCATACTCTCCAAACATCGGCATATTTGATTATAAATGTTGCTGCCACAGTACAAGTACCAGTTCAAGTAGTTCAAACCAGATAAGTGTATGCATTATTCCCTTCGGCTAGATCACGAGTATAAATAGGTACTACTACCTCCTTGTTCTCTTATCACCTGATATAATAATTGCTCGCGGTGACACACTACAACCTCAACATTAAAACACGATCACGAGGTCCAACATGTATGTTTTTGATAAGTATAACATTTGATAAGAATTACTACATCTTTATATCAATGGATGCACCAATGGTACATTGTTGTGTCATTAACCTTATAAATAAAAGCGAAAAATACAATATATATAATCATAACAAATCTCTGCAGAGTCCATTGTACATTTCAGCCACATCATATTTATGTCATTACTGTCAATTTGAGATGATACCAGGTGTTCCCAACGTAATAATTCTACTTGGCGACGTGTTTTGTTCATTGCAGAAAGTGACACAAGACTCCACAGCCGCAGTGGAACAAACTTTGTTGACATTGTGTTGACACTGCCACAGTTATATTTAGCCCGATCAATAGGGAATTTATATTATGTAATTGAGAGGTAGAAAGGAAGTAGATAACAGACCTCACTCGGTATATATGTTATAACAAAGAAGTATATATTCACATGACTTGGGAGACAGGATCAGTTTTACAATTGCAGACGTTTTCTGATGATGGCTGCCTTTTGTGTTTATGCGGTGATCTTGTCTTTGTACTTACATGCACGTGATGCAGGTATGTATGTAACTATAGTCAGAAACCAGATGAAACAGTGTTTGTAGAAGTGGTTGATACCTTAACCAGCTGGGCTAAAACTAAATTTACATGTCTGTGAAGTTAGTTATAGAATTGAGTTAATTTCATGAGAGAAAATATCAGATTAATCTTTTAAAATTTGCTCTTATATCTTGAAAATAGATCATCAGAAAGTGTCACGACCCCTATGTTAGATGGACATAGGTTATATTAGAATTTGTTTTACTCTCCTACTTGGATATTGATGAGCAGTGAAAAACGTTTAAAGACAATTTTAAAAGTCGTATATATGTGTAGCGACAAAGTAAGATACAAAAGTCGATAAAATTATATCATATCATATTATAAAATTGTAAGTTATAAATGTATATTTTGATTGGCATTTTCGCGCTGGGAAGCAAGATAAGATGTTTTGATGTTAGTATCTACATCGCTGTATTTCAATTCAGTCTCATTCGGCAGCGTGCTGTAATGCACATTCGCTGGCAAGACAGAATGACAGCGTTTGGGGTAACTACGCTTTGAACAGTATTATGACGTGTTAACCTGATATTGGAGGAAATCTAAAAGTGCCGCATGCCGTCTACATTGATGAAGCACACGAGCTTGGGTTAGGCGCCTACTCACCAATGATGATAAACAGGGCGAAACTGGAATGTTAAAGGACCCTTGGAAGCACAGGGAACTACGGCGCTTTAATTAAACCGCGAGACCGCACCAGTCGCAAAGTTAAAGGCTATGGTTTACAGTGACATTAATATCCTTTTGCCACACAATTGATATTGAAAACAATGTACTTCCTTATCCGACTTTGATCATTCATTAGAAATGATGCCTATTGGCGTTTCAAATGAATCGTGGACCCTGTACAACATGACGCCTTACAGTTTTTTTCATAACACATTTATAACATTTAGACACGGTTTGAACAAATTGATAATTAAAAAGGCAGTTAATTAGTTTTTGAGAGACACAGAATACACACATGATACGTTTGATACTTTAATTTGCACAATGTAGGTGTCAAATTTATTATCGTTTCTTGTTTTCATGTCAGACCATATCTGATTTCAGTCTTTTGTATCGCCATCGTTTGTTAGGGAACGTATTTTACAATTGAACTAAGCTCTGCATATACACCACACGATGGCGTTGCTTAACAACAGCGAAAGGTTCCCTCCCACAGCGTCAAACAAAAAGAAGTTGAAACAGTGGAGACGTCAAAATAGGTCAAAACAAATGAAGGACAAATACAGGACATATACAAATGTTACTTTAGTGTATACGTAAACTTTATTCTTTGAGGGAATCATTGATTCTGCAATCAAACCCGTATATTGTGGCGTATAGATGATAGTGATAAACGGTGACTGTATATACAGTTGTCACCTACCACGTTTCCCTCTGTATCATTTGTTCATGTGTGACATTGTCACCGGGTCGTTATTTTTCTCGTGTCACGGCCTAGTGACCTCTCCGCTCCCCGGCTTTAATTCCGACACCCCTCGGCAAAGTCCGGCGGTAGTCATTGGTCAGTGTCATTACATTCTGTGTTAGGGAAGTAGTAGCCAAACTATTTCATTGTCGTGTGATCTGGTGGCTCTCTCAAACCAGGTATTGACTGGATGTATGTTATCTCTTATATGTTCACTACCTTATTCGTGTATAGAAAAAGTTTTTGTAACTATGACTTTCAAATATAAGGTGAATTTATATGTACAATCAGATATGTCTCATGTATTTATGATCATTTCACGTATATTACGGCACGTCAGCATTATAAAAAACACGAAGTGAGACAAATTGTCGTCAACATTTAAAGTTTTGTTAAATACACGAACTCGAGTATGTCGCCCACAATGTAAGGATCATCTATCTGGGATTCGAACCCATGATCAGCGGTTCCTGGATCGTCGAAGGGACGCAACTATGCATAGCGCATTGAGACGTCATAGACTGTTCCGTTTACCTAAATTAGTTACTTATTGGTAAGGATATTTTTCAAATATGTGTGTAAGTTTTTGAGGCAAGATGAGATGAAATAGAGTTTAACATCGCGTTTAAGATAATTGCACTTATATACGATAAGTACGATGTGTTAACGTCTTTTGGACGCGGCCGGGGAATCGAATCACCAACCTTCCGCTCTTCGGGGAGACGCTCTATCCACTAGACCACGGATGCAGTGGTTGACCTAAGAAGCAGTGCTACTACAATTTAGAATATCCGCAACGCTAGCTCTGGTGATGCCAACACAAGCAGTTGATGGAATGAATGAATGATGTTTTAAGATGCTAGTAGCAAGCTTACACATTGTGACCTCCCGATTATAATTTTAATCGACCCACTAGCATATGCATGTAACCCTGTATAATAGATTATCTGAATTAATTTATTTATAATTCATTCGTTCGTTCGTTCGTTCGTTCGTTCGTTCGTTCATTCATAATTTAATTCATTCATTAATTCATCTGGCAAAAAACATAGGGTACTTGTGCTGATTAGACTTATATTCTCCGGGAATCCCAACTATGGATGAGTTTGGAGTTAAACTACATAACGGGCTACGACAAATGGTTCAACACATATCCTGAAAACGGATTTTCGGCGTCATTTCGTCCGAACAGTGTTTTATAGTTAAATAGTATTACCTTGTATGTACTCTCGTGTATATAGTCTTGAAACTGTAGGATTGTTATAAAGGTGTAATGATTATGACTTTACATTTCTACACAGACTATTAAATACTAGCTCAGCGTTCGTAGTACACAAGTTGTGCCCATACCCAGATTACCAAGATTACTGATAGGTATAGAAATACATCTCCGTAGGAATTAAGAAACACGAAAATAATTCCCTACACTGAAATTGGACCCATTGCTAGTTAAAGTCACAGTCACAATTTCACAGGAAAACTAGATGCTGACTATTGCAGTTTTAATACGCTACTCTAGGAACCAAACAATCAACACTGTTTCAATTACGTAGACACTGTGTCTAAACCTGTTTCAAGTGCGTCATTGTAAAACGTGTATGATACATTTCAGACTCACGTAACGAATCCAGATGCTATGGTGCTACGCTAAATCTATCATGCGACAACGAGGTCATCGCCCTAGACAACATATACGCAATTGCGAAAAAACTGCCCTCTAACTGCCCTCCAGGTGGCTCAGCAGTTAGCCACACATTGGCACAATCTTGCTGTGAAACCTTTGTTAATGATTGCAAGATAAACTACACGGGTTTAAGTGTTTCCGATTACCACAAGGCATGTTCAGGGTCATCTCATTGCCAAAAGCCGGCTGCATGGCAGACTACAGAGTCATGTGGCTCGGATTTTCTATCGCCATCAACTTATATGGAAATCGAGTACCACTGTGTAGAAAGTAAGTATGAGTACAAAGGACAGTTTACAGCCATATACATGTTTGTGAGTATATGAAACGTAGAACATAAGGTTTATGTAACACTTTCTACATCATGGCTCCTTTTGCCAGTTGGACAATGTTAACAGTAGTACAAATAACGGATTTGGTACGTGTGATGTCAATTGTGATCATTACTTTCTGTATTGTTACGCTCACGTTTTCAAAAGACACCTAATCGTACGTGTATTGTATTGCAGGCAGCACGGTACGCATTCCGTCAAATAACATGACCAACGGGACGACAGTTTCAATCCAAAATGAGGTATATCCGTCATCAGGACCACTTGGCACTGCCGATTTGTGCAGCGTCACAGCGTCGAACAGTTCAGCCATTGCTGTGTCATTACTACATCTAAATATTACCTGTCAGCAGCACATTGACATATTGGATGGTAGCTCTTGTGAAAGAATTGATTGTGGACACAATACCAACTATAGTTCTGGAACCGTGTACACCAGCATCAACCATGTCATACATGTGCGTGTAAATCTCTCTGATTCCGGGCGGTTTTGGATTCAATTCAATGGTAAGAAATCAAGTACGTGAACACTCCAGTTGATCTGCTGGTTGTATGAAGTGAAACTCAATCATAATCATCCGAATGTATTAAACCTTGCGACTGCACTATAAAATGTGTTTCGATCCAAATACAAACCTTAACGCCGTTTTCGTTCCATGATTTAAGCACGTTTAGAGGCCTAATCGGTTTAAAATTGCAAACATGTTTACAATATTTATACAACATGTACACGGTATTTAGATTGATGACTGTCATTTATCATCCAAAACTGCTCCCACAGGAGATATCGCTTGGATTAATATTAGATCAAGCGATATCTACACTGTAGATATCGCAGCAATGAAATTACATCACAATGCTTTGCAGACCATTGTGACGTCACCGGTTACCATGACGTCACAATCAATTGACATCACTAATGGCTCTGCTACTGGAGCTGTTAGAAGTACTTTTTACACTGAAGACACTACTAATTATTGTCTAAAATTGAAAAAGTTGAAAGAATGATGTTGGATGATAAATAAAATCTCACCCTCGTGTCTTTTGATGTCAAATATATCAACACTCGTTGATAAAAGTGGCAAAAATCCTCGGCAAGCCTATGAATTTTTCCACTTTTATCAGCTCGTGTTGATATATTTGATATCAAAAGACACGAGGGTGAGACTCTCTTTGTCTGGTAATATTGCCAAGAATTATCTAGCCTAGAATGGTGATGGTGTGGAAGAAAAATGGACCATAGATGTATTACAATACAAACACCAAGGGTTTTAAAGTTCAAATAAATACTTCTTTACAACCATTGAGTTTTATATGCTGCTGCATTTATAAAAATGAAAACAATATTTCGTGAAGTGAACAGAATATAAGATAAGAATAGTTCAAGCGATCGATCTCCTCAACTAAAGAAGATACTGGAACAATATCACAAATTTATGATAAAATTTCCAAGGCTCGTCATAACTTTGATATACCGATTTATGCCATAGCATATCTGCTGTTAACAAAGTTACGTACGTTCCGTTAAGTCGCCAAAGATAACTTATTCTGGAATGCACACACCTATGTATATCGGATTTTTAACCATAATAAGATTTTAGACACAATGCTTGACATGTATAGGGCATACATAGGCCTCCTAACGTGTACATATTGAGTGTTCAGTGGGTATGTAGTTAGATCTTAACCTATCGCACGTGCTTTCAAGCTTAACATGTTTAAACACACAAAACGTTTCAACATTTTAGGTGTTAATGTTTCAGAGTACCACAAAACCTTTCAGCATTTTAAAAACACAATTCACTGCACACAGATGCCTGCGGCTAAACGTGTCTAGCAGCATGTATGTAATACACAATTTAGCAATAAAAATAATATATAGCTGTAGGGTAGCTCTGATTTTGTCGATCTAAATCATAATTGTATCATATTGTCATGCAGCGTTAAACTCTCATGCGAGCGTAGAACTTCTATGTGGATTGTCAGCACCACCAACAGCTCCGAGTGTATCATCCTGCCCGGACACGAGTACAACGAGGGTTAGCGCAACTGAGAATCTAACAACAGCATTGCCGAATGTACAAGAGAATACAGATGCGACAACGATGATAATTGATGCGTCATCCAAACCTAAACAATCAACGTCGCCTCATGGTATGCTTGTGTGTTACAAATATTTCTTGTCTGAAGATGTAAGGGAAATCACACATGATGCCGAGGTAGCATGTTCACATTTATTAGTATGTGCCATCCTTATCCTTATCCTATAATATATTACATGCAAACAATTTTGAGCCTCATTTCGTTCACTCACTGTCACCCAATGAAGACGGAGCTGACTTGGAGATTTCAACTTCCTTGTTCTATTTTCATTAGTAAGCTATGTCTTTATTGATGCTACAGTTTTGAGAATGCTACTTACGGCTTCACTCTTCCCCTTCAGGTGGCATGAGTCTGGCGGCAGCAGCTGGTACGGGTATAGGCGTCGTGGTGTGCGTCATGCTACTTCCCATTCTACTCTGTGTTCTGTATAAAAAGAAGCACAGACTGGTAGGTAGCAGCATTGTCCTCATCTGTCACACCTAGATGCGAGGTGTAAAGCATCGTAAAGTCTCAAGTCTATTGTTCAACGGAATGGTTCAAAAACTTATTCAATATGTGTGCACGTTTCGAATGCCAGTCACACTCTCCTATGACAATCATTCTCGAGCTCGAAAGTAAAGTAACAGTAAATTTTAAAATACTATAGACCTCTAAGGAACAATTACCCTTCTATGCAACTCCCTTGTGGACATTCAAAGCACTCCTAAAAGAGTTGTCCCGATGTAAAATAATATCTGGATGTCTTTGATGTGATAACTACTACAGGGAGGTAATAACATAGTTCGCATGAATAGTTATAACAACATAGAAGAAAGGAAGAAAAACACACACAAATGGTAAAGAATGGTAAAGTCCATTTCAACAGATTGCTTTTCTAAGATTAGGTCTCACGTCATCTGCCAAATGAAACTCTTCTACATAATATAGTCGTTTATATATGTATTACATAATTACACCTGCGCTATGTGCTCTTCTCAGATGATGAAGTTATATTAAATATTTACTGAAAGGAGGCAATCAATATCTAATTTGTAATGTTTTTTTAAGACTTATAAAATATGTTATTCGGGAACGCCCCTTTCAAGCCAGGATATGTATTTTCATTATATTGCAATCAGTGTTTGAAACCCTTTTCTTGAAGACCAAGGAGACAACCTAATTCTCCATGCTATTCGTTCCGTAATATGAACATGTTTTCCAGCGATTCCTCCATACATTTCTTGCAACGAATAGCTGCAAAATTGCGGATGCGTCGTTATAACCACTCATTCTGTGCATTATACTAGTTGTTGTCACAATGCTGATGCTGGTGTTTACAGATGAAGGTAGGCAGACTTGAGCTTGCTGATTCCCTTAGTATAACAGGAACAGATATGAGCACCACAGCTCCCTCTTCAAGTCGACTTGCACCAAACTAGAGTTTCCAGGAACCGGATTGACACAAACACCTTTGATGACCAGTTCAGTACAACTATTACCTTCTGTGCCATCTCAGACACGTGCTGTCAACAGGTTACAATAGATAAGCAACCCAATCGATGTTAATTATGTTTGAAATAAGGAGTGGTATGATGGGACATAATGACAAAAAACAATCTGAAAATCCGAACAAGTCAAGCAGAATTGATTTCCCTGGCCTCCGGTAAACACATAATATGGTTGCTGGCAAAAGTTGGAAATTCAAAGAAAATCTCAATTCACTGTGTACTTTCATATAAAATAGCCAAATTTGAAATCGTATCCTGTATGAATATTAGGACGTTTAAAAAAAAAATAAGAATCTGTATATATAAGATTATTTACTTAAACTTTATTGACACTCTTTGCCGTTGAGTTTTTCACTGCTTAGTAGTCATTATGTCGCTGCAGGATTTTGATAATAGTACATATCGTGCTAAAAATACGTTTGATTTTTTGTAATAATATTGTATATCACCTCATCAATATTACCCAATTATTGTATAACATGGTCGTATTATTATTTGTAAGTATAAAAGTGTTGAAAATGATATTTATTCCTTTGGTTGTTTATCGGATTAACATGACGGCTTTCACATCTATACAAATCTACGCAGACATAAATCAGCCTTACGTGTAGGCGTAAAACAGGAAGTTTTACTATTACACCTACTTGTGTGCTACTTGTTAAAATGTCAAACAGAATAATTGTATTCCTGCTTTGGTATTGGTAAATATATATCATATGATTAGCCAAATGTGTTATTGTTTTTTGTTGTTGTTTTTTGCTGTGAGTGTCATTAAACAATGACAAGAAACAAGAAAAGGTTTCTGAACATATCAATGGCTGTATGCATGTCATGGTTGTTGCGTTATCTATATGACGCATGACGATATTCAGAACGGCAGGACATGGTGTCAACGAAAAGGGACGAGACCCTTTCTGTGGAGGAGATTTTCAATACAGGTCCATACTTCCATGTAACTTACACAACTACATAAAAAACATACATGGACCTTTTCACGCTTGTAGTGTCTTTATTTTCATTTTAAACAGAATGGAACATTTCTTACCCTTTGGGTTTATCAGCTGGACAAACTGATATATTGTAAAATTGCCTAGGTTGCGGTGTTCACGAAACATGTCAACCCTCCCTTTCTCCATTGGTATATGTAACAAGCTTCTTTACATATAAATGATAATAAAAGGTTGATGTCTCGGGTCGAAAAACCAGCGAAAAAAGTCGCGGTCTAGCGATCATACCGTTCCCGCGCTTTAATTGTTCACTATTCGGCAAGGTCCGGCAGTCATCGTTGTCCAGTGTTTTTGTATTCCTTCTTAGAAAATTAGTTACCCGTTCATTTTATTATCTAGTGATTAAATGTCACACTTTTATCATGTATTGATTGGATATGTGTAATCTCATATATGTTTGCTACTTTATACGTGTATTGGCAATGTTCTTGTACCTTGAGTTAAGGGTCTCCTCCCATTAGTAAGACAGCCCAGTTGTGAGACACCTTAAAACAACAATGTCATATCTGGTTGCACATGTTAATCAGGTAATAAACCCCTATCTTGAAAAAATGGACTTGTCTTATTATAGACAAAAGAAATGACTCAAGATGCTTGATACCCTCTTTTACTTTATTTCATTCAATATTTTAATTCATCCATCCCTTAAATCCATTGTTTTAACATATTCGCCACTTAGAGTTCAGTTATAGTTAATATCACAGTTCACATCACAGTTCACATCGAGGTTGTCACACTGACACAACCTTAATCCATCTTCAGAAGTTTGCCAACAGCATCCAAGAACTGGAGTAGTGTCTTGACACCCTGGGATAGCTGATCCTTCAGTCTGTAAAGTAGACTGTCAATCTCCTTGTACACACGCTTTCTTGCTGGTGGGGGGCGGTCGGGTAGCCTTGTGGTTAAAGCGTTCGCTGGTCATGCCGAACACCCGTGTTCGATTCCAGACATGGGTACAATGTGTGAAGCCCATTTCTGGTGTCCCCCGCCGTGATATTGCTGGAATATTGCTAAAAACGGCGTAAAACCGAACTCACTCACTCACTCATTCTTGCTGGTGGAGCTGCACCTAGGTCTAACTGAGATAGCTTGGTCTTCTCAGATTTCTCAATCTTCTTGATGATCTCGATGACCCTGTAGAGATTAGGATGACGATGATCAGTGATGCATTGGGGCGACTGTGGAAACCCTCCAGGTTGTTGTTGGTCTTTGGGCCGAATTTCTGATGATGGTCCCACAGTGAAAGAGGGAATCTGGCTTCATAATCCACCCAGTTCGTGACTATGTAGTCGTTGAATTCGTCAGCATTCGGTACATCGGGAGACTGGTTCATGGAGTCAATCCATACATCCTGAACCTGTTGAAGAGGCAGCAGAGGCAAGGCATCAGCTCGTCGGATCCACTGTTCCACAAGGGGGTTATTTCTGTATCCAACAGCAAGACCTTCACCGTCGGAAAAAAGCAGAAACCGCTCACCATCATGGGTCTCTCTCCAGGGTGCTGCAATGTCGACTTCAGCTCTGGTTTTAAGGAGTTTCGGGATGGTGTGACTGCGGTGTCTGTACATGGCGCTGCCGACCTAGCTGAAGGAGGGAAATATAGCTGCAGCCTTCGGATCTTGTCTCAAGACCTCGTCGTTGTAGAGGGCTGGCATAGAAGTGGTTGGTTCTTCTCTTGCTCTCTTCCTTAAGCTGCCAAGGAACTGGATTCTGCTGGTGTCTTCTGGTGGGTGTTTGTGTACAGTGAAACTTTTTGAGTAAGCTCCTATTAGCAGAAACAGAATTACTGGCCTACTCTTATTAATTAATCCGCTAATCATGGGCTGTGACCATTGTTAAGTGGGTAGACTGGCTGTGTTTGTTTAATTAATCCCACCTTCTCCACTGTCTTACAATGGGTGTCTCACTAATGGGATGTCTTACTAATGGGATGTAACCGAGTTAAGTCTCATATATTTATGATCACTTTGGCCACCTCAATAATTCTGCACACACTACCTAACACATCGAACCGCATTACAAACCACCCTCAATCTAAACAAGGCTCTAACTCTAGAAGCAATACTAAACCCACAAAATAAACTAGAAAACTTCAAGGCCTTAGGCGTATTCTTAATAAAAACGGAACTAATAAAACGCATCTAAAAACACAATAACCTACCAAATCAAAATGACATAAACAAACAAACATCTACCATACCCAGCTCCCTTAGTTCTCCTCCCCAATCCCATCGGCATCTATTCCAAATCTCAAAATTCCCAAATTCTATATAAGCAACCCCTAAAACCCCCCTCTTGGGTTGCACAGACCACTTTCGCCCCTTTCGGAAACACATTAAATGGCCTGGCCGGGCCCGTGTGCGAAATACGCATCAATCGGAAAGCGCACGTTAAATCTCCAAAGTAAGTAAGTAAGTACCTCAATAATTGTACATTTCTGGTTGAACATCTTTACTGGTACCATTGGATACGAGCTATGTTCAGCGCTTTTCTTTGGTACTTACGTCTTCCGTATTGATTTAGTAGTTAGTTTGCTATTCGGGTTTTCCCTATGTTAAGCAACACACTTGGCTAAGCTGTCCATGCTATTGCATCCCTACCAGGAAAGGTTGGCCTCTCCGGCTCCCGCGCACACGTATAAAACCCTTGTTAAAATCATGTGCCTTTGCCTCCAGGCGTTGTAAGATCGTTTACAGGTCGTCTTGGTACTGGGCGGTCATTAGAAACACAAGTTTCGTTCGTAAGTAATTGCGGGGCTGTGTTAATCTGGTACTGACTTTCTCTGCTTGCATTGAGCTAAACTTATTAGGGTTTTTCATACTCCGTTTTTTCTAGTACTCCGTGGATAACCAACCTTACGTGTGTGTCTAGCTTAGGTCAAGTACCTAATAGTTTTGGGACGTTTAGATTTTCCATGTCCAATCAAATTGATGGTTTTTAGTCTGTAAGACTAGTTTGACATTCTGACGTATTCCGTCAATGTAAGAACTGTTTGTGGATATCCAACAGGACACCATGACGCCACCACCTCAAATGGGTGAAACTCTTGGATGCATTCTAGAGCCCATCGTTCACATCTACGTCGATACATCCACATCCGCCCACAGTAATGGAACCAGTTGGAGCTGCTCTCGTCGTTGAACGTTACTCTGGACCAATCACGTCGTTGCCAACGCCGCACAGTTCGAGACCACTGTCATCTATTTTACCGATATTAACGGATCAAGGCCATTGGGTTGAAGGCCCAGTACAATGTGTATCTTCTGATGCGGAATCACGGTCCCGTCAACCGAGAGGAAGATGTTGCGCGGAAGACAATCGTCCTCTGTTGGGTGGTCAAACGTGGTCTAGCACATCGCCGCCTGACCATTGTGTGCTCAGCTGCAGGTCTTTTGGCATCGTTGAAGTTTTCCGGTTTGAAGTTTTGCAATATGGACCTGCATGGCTCCCATGGCTCCCATGACTCCCATGGGTCTCTCTCTCTCCCTCTCTCCCCCTCTCTCTCTCTCTCTCTCACTCTCTCTCACTCTCTCTCTCTCTCTCTCTCTCTCTCTCTCTCTCTCTCTCTCTCTCTCCTGAACCCTTTATGCATTTTCATTCCATACTATCATAAAAAATACATCTTTAATACCAAATACCATTAATTAAAATGGTTTCGGTTGTGTTTGAGCGATCTTTATAAGTCTGAATAGAGTTCCCTTTAGCCAATGTATCAAAACCTTTTCGCAATCTAACAATGTATACTCTGTTTTCATCGTCAGATCGTAAGCAACGTTGTTTCATTATCTTGCATGCCATGGTCTCTAAATAGCCCTTATCAAGATCTTGTTTTAACGTTGTCAGCTCTGTAATTGAGTCCATTTGTCAGCCGAACTGACATACACGAGGACAAACGTGTACAAGGTAAAAAGGTTGTCCCCAGATACGAATACGGGTTTGAGAATTAAAGTTTGTTTTCCTTAATAAAGGAATCACTTTCAGCATACCGCATATTACAACAAAACACCTTTACATTTTCAAAAGGGCAATGGAACAATGGTAATGGAATTGTAATAGATAAGTGTGTGATTGGTCGATAGTAAACTTACGATCGGGGAGTAACGTAGAAAGCATAAATAATAGTTGATGATTGTAAACTTGATTAATCCAAGACATTATGATTTGCGACGTTTATGATTCGAATAATATAGCATTTAGTCTGACACACATATATATTATATATCACTGTTTGACGTCAGTGAAATCACATGTCGGTATTCAGAGTATCCTTTTGGAAGGGGAAGCATTTGGAATGTGTGATGAGTTATGGCAGTCCTATGACTCGACCAATGCCATATGACACGCAATTAGAGTACGAACAGGGAGTAGCACGACCAGCTCTTGGTTTCTAAACATTGTTTGTGCAATACACGTGTCATCTGAAACTGTACAAGGTAAAGACTCGTATCTCTCGCAACCAGGAAGTATGTTTCCAAATGCGCCCCACCGCTTGTTTGACCGAGATATTTGCCCTCCCCAACTGACGTGTGAGGGGTGATACCAGGATTCCTGCGCAGAAGGGGGTAGCAGGTTATCAAACATAGAAACAATCTTATTTAAATAAGAAGGACCATAGTACCTCATGTTTACGTTACACAGGGACACACAACACATTCACAAAACAGCGAATGCACCGTCTTGGTACATGGCGACATTTGCATTCAATTTATACTTCGTAATTCGT